CTTTACAATTGCCCTTGTTGAACTTCACGAAATTTCTCCCTGCCCAGCTTTCCAGCCTGTCCAGGTCACACTGGATGGCAGCACAGCCTTCTGGTATGTCAGCCACTCCTCCCCGGTTTGTATCATCAGCAAACCTGCTGAGGGTACACTCTATCCCTTTTTCCTGGACCCAGTACTCTCCCCTGGGGAACACCGCTAGCTACGAGACTCCAACTAGACTCTGCACTGCTGTTTTCTTTTTCTTCCTTTCTTATGTCGTGTATCTTCTTTTCTCTATATCTGTTCCTACCATCCAAGCCGCACTTCTCAAGCTTGGCTGTGAGGATACCATGGGAGACAGTATTGAAAGCTTTGCTGAAGTCGAGATAAATATATTGAAAGCAAATATTTGCATTCAATTTCTAACCACAGGAGTAGCAAATCTAAAAGAACAGGAGTGTACAAGATATAATGCAATTAACATTTTAAAAACAATCTTACCTTTATTAGATTTAGATGACTTGTTCTTGTTAGGTTTAAAAGACCCCCTTGATTTATCTTCTCTATCCTTAATAAATTTCTGCACATCATCCAATGAAAGCTTTTGAAGGACAACTACAGGCTTAGCTCCTTTATTTAGATCTTCAACTAGCCCAATCTTCTCTACTTTATCCTTCTGATCACCTTTAAATTCAGTTTTTCTTGACTCCTGAGTGATGTTGCCATCTTTATCACGCTTGATTTTTGGAATGACAAAATGTTTCAATGAGCCAGATCTTGCCCCCAGTAAATAACTGGGAAACTCTGCTTTACTGTCAGCATATGCTTTATTATTATCTGCTTTACTCTTATTACCATCTGTCCTTCGTTCATCCTTGCTGTTGGGTGATTTAAAAGCAGGTTTATCAGGTCTTGATTTACTAGAATCTCCTTTACTGTCCTGTTTAATGCGAGGGCTGTCAGGTCTTGATTTCTGATCCCCAGAAGAAAACCTTTCCCTTGATTCTCCAGACTCATGCCTGTGTTTCCTTTCAAATTTCTGCACATCATCCAATGAAAGCTTTTGAAGGACAACTACAGGCTTAGCTCCTTTATTTAGATCTTCAACTAGCCCAATCTTCTCTACTTTATCCTTCTGATCACCTTTAAATTCAGTTTTTCTTGACTCCTGAGTGATGTTGCCATCTTTATCACGCTTGATTTTTGGAATGACAAAATGTTTCAATGAGCCAGATCTTGCCCCCAGTAAATAACTGGGAAACTCTGCTTTACTGTCAGCATATGCTTTATTATTATCTGCTTTACTCTTATTACCATCTGTCCTTCGTTCATCCTTGCTGTTGGGTGATTTAAAAGCAGGTTTATCAGGTCTTGATTTACTAGAATCTCCTTTACTGTCCTGTTTAATGCGAGGGCTGTCAGGTCTTGATTTCTGATCCCCAGAAGAAAACCTTTCCCTTGATTCTCCAGACTCATGCCTGTGTTTCCTTTCAAATTTCTCAATTTTTGAACCATCAGATTTAATAACATGTTTAGAATCATGTTCATTTTTGTTTGAGGATCTCAAATATTCAGGCCTTCTAATCTTGGATGGATCTCCTCTGTATCTCTCTGACTCTTCCCTGTCCTCAGATATTTGTTTAAGACTATCATGGTCACGTCTCAGTGTACCAGAAACTGAATGCCCATCAGGCCTTTGTTTTGTTGGATCAGATCTACTTTCAGATTTTATCCTTGAAGGATCAAATTTCACATCTAGTTTATGCCTAGATATTTCAATTTTCTTATCTGAAAGTGGTTTACTTGAGTCCCTCCTGTTATCATGTCTATGCTTTGGTGTTTCAGGCCTGCCTTCATTCTTCTGTTTTGGCACTTCAGGCCTCTGCCTTATTTCCTGCTTGCCATTATTTTGTTTTCCCTCATTTTGTTTCATCTCCATTTGCCTGCTCTCGTTTTGTTTTGATTCTGTCTGTCTATTTTCATTGTGTTTCACTTCCATTTGTCTGTTTTCATGCTTGCTTTCACATTTAGGTTCTACCTGTTTGTTCTCACTGTGTTTACTTTCCAACCGCCTGCTCACATTTTGCTGAAATTCCATTTGTCTGTTTTCATTTTGCTGGATATCTGTCTTTTGACCCTCAAAGTCTGATGTTTTCCTAAAAATCTCGGGATGGTTTTCAGGTTTGGATTTAAGAACTCCAATAGCGTCTTCTTGGGGAACAAACACCAACCCATCATTATATTGCTTAATTTCTTCATTTTTTTGGATGGTGTCCAAATCGTCAGTTACTGTTGACTGAGAGTCAGCTCTTCCTGCTTGCTGCAGATCAATACTAACCATTAATGCTGGCCTCACCCCATTTCCCGCAGAACCTGTCTCCTGAGAAGCTGCTTTATTTCCTCCAGTAGCACTTCCCATCTCCTGTGGTTTGTTTTCTTGTTTTCGCTTCTTCAGAGGCTTATCTGCCAATTAAAAGAGAAAAATCACAAATGCTATATAGAAACAGGTAAACGTCCAAGCAAAAATGTCCATTCCCCTCCACCCCCACCAGTTAATCCTCCACAGGATGTATGTGCACGCACAACATTCATTGAATTTAAAAGCAAGAATAGAACTTGGCTTACTAATAATTTTTAATGAATTCAGACTATGATTTGTTGTCAGTCTACCACATATGCCAATTAATCATTAAAAAACACCTGCAAAACATATGAAATCAAAGTCCCTGCAAATTACCAACAGAATCATCTAATAAAGCAGCTGCAATACATAACCAAAAAAAAAAATTCATTTACACTTGAAGCAAGTTTTGAGGAATACTACTATAAAAGATTCTCTTCTGCAGATTCAGCCTACTTCATTATATGTGAACTAAGCAAGGATCTCCAATGATTAAGACAAAGGTTCTCCCTACTTGTTTCAGTGCATCAGTTTGACTTCACACATTGTAGCGAGGGAACAGACAAACAATGAACACAAATGATTAAAATAGCTCCAACACTCCATGCTTCTCTTTGAAATAAGGAGTATATCAAAAGTTGAAGCCTAAACCATAATACATATGTATTAGGTGGGTGGCCACTACACACTTAAAAGCTTGAGCATTTACCCTTTGCAACCATGTTTTTTTGTGGATGAAATACAATTATCAGTGATAATTTTATGTAGTATCAAGAGAAACCAAAAAAACCAAAAGCAACATTAACAGTAGAATACAGAAAAATTAAGCTAACCACACACCCTGTAATTTAGAATTCATGGAAATGAGAAGCACATGGAAATATCAAAAAGAGTATGTTCTATTTAATTAAAATACAAACTATTTATATTACCAACACAAGACTAAGGGTGCTTGAGGTACCATGAGGTTCAACAAGGCCAAGTGCAAGGTCCTGCACATGGGTCAGGGCAATCCCAACCACAAATACAGGCTGGGGGATGATGGGATTAGGAGCAGACCTGCAGAGAACGACTTGGAGGCACTGCTGATGAAAAGCTGGACATGAGCTGGCAATGTGTGCTCACAGTCCAGAAAGACAACTGTATCCTGGGCTGCATCAAAAGAAGCGTGGCCATCAGGTCGAGGGAGGGGTTTCTGTCACTCTACTCCGCTCTCATGAGACCCCACCTGGAGTACCACATCCATCTCTGGAGTCCTCAACACAAGAAAGACATGCACATGTTGGAGTAGGCCCAGAGAAGGGCTACAGAAATGATCAGAGGGCTGGAATATTTCTCCTATGAAGAAAGGTTAAGAGAGTTGGGGTTTTTCAGCATGGAGAAGAGAAGGCTCTAAGGAGACCTTTTTGCAGCCTTTCAGTACTCTTGTAGTACTTGTAGAGGGCCTACAAGAAAGATTAGGACAGTCTTTTTAGCAGAGCCTGTTGCAACAGGACAAGAGATAATGCTTTTAAACTAAAAGAGGGGAGATTCAGACTATATATAAAGAATAAATTTTTTACAGTGAGGGTGGTGAAACACTGACACAGGTTGCCCAGAGAGGTGGTAGATGCCTCATCCCTGGAAGCATTTGAGGTCAGGCTGGATGGGGGTCTGCGCAACCTGATCTAGTTAAAGATGTGCTGTTCACTGCAGGGAGTTGGACTAGATGATCTTTAAAGGTCCCTTCCAAACCAAACCATTCTATGATTTTACTCTAAAATAAAATTAATTTCTGCCATGAAACTCAAAACCCATGCCTGCACTAAGCCTTATAGTCTCATTTCTCAGGTATAATTTTGTAATTGGTCAAAAAAAGCAATTATTTTCTCTGTAATCAGGGAATATGATTTTAAGTCTGAGAAGTGACTAAACAGAGGCTGGAAATTCTCTTGTAGATATATTGTCCAATCATCTAGACCACAAATGCAGTAAGTGCCTTATCAACAGATGTAATGAGACAGCTTTCATTTTGGGAGCAGGGGATGCAATCAAGGAAGAGGGAATTAAACTAAGGAAAAAAAATCCAAACCTCTCAAGTTGTAAACCAGAATTATAACAGATGACTTCTAATTTCTTCTATACTTGCAGAAGATTCTTATTCAGAAGAATTAACACTTTGAAAGATCATTCTCAAAATTAATATTAGAACACAGTAACAAATAGCAACATGGTAAATTCCAGTTAATGAACAAGTTTGTGGCTTTTTTCTATCATTTTCTTTCTCAAATCTATTTGTATATCTATAACTTCCTAAAACTCTAAAATTATGTACAATATTTAATGGCTGGAAAACATTAAAAACAGATATAATAAACTCCATGCAGAAACTGGTCAACTGCAAATAAGGAACTTTGAAAAGTTCAACAAAAACCTGTAGGATCACCTGCCAACTTTATGGTAGACATGTGAACCAAAAATAAATTGGCCGAATTGAAGGTGCAGCTTTTTAGCACAGAAATTTTTGCTTTTTCTGTACAGCAACAACTACTGTTGGATTCATATGAGACCTTATATAGATTAACTTCTCTACACTACTTATTAAAACAAATGTTTTTGAAAACTTTATGCAGTGACAAAAATTATTTTTCTCCCTGTGACTAAGGGAGACCTGTGACCTCACTGAGCTTCATAGCAGGTCTCAGGAATGGCCATGAAGTAGTAGCTTCCAGACTAATAGACTTCAAATTTTATTTCTTTTTTTAAAACATGTACATTAACATACATACACACACACATCACTACCTTATTTCTCAATTAAACCTGTTTAAATTTTGAAACACAAATTGAGAAACTTGTGTTCTTAGGAAAAAGTCAGTCAGCTTTTTCATTTTAACCCAGAAATGCCAGCCCCACTGAAAGAGTCCTGTAAAGCTCTGATGCTGGATCTAACAGCAGCCTCTAAGACATTACTGTTTACCAGTTATCTGCCCCATTCCTTTAAATGAGGTTATAACCTGTAGCAGAAGGGAACACCCATTTACATTTCCACAAGTGCATTTCATTGTCCAATGCATCAGCTTAAGGCACTAGTGAGGATGGCTTGCATTCATCTACCAGACTGAACAAGTCAGCTAAGAGCCAAGCAAATGTTTCCTTCTGTTACCCCTACTATAGAAGCAAGGCAAATGTCCAGGAGTTGTGATGCCTTAAACTACTGTAGCTTGGAGCTGGAGGCTCCAAGATTAAACAACCAAAATAATTCAGGTAGGACCAATTTTCTCCCTTGAATCTCCATAACTGACCAGGCTCAAAATATACTGCTCTTCATCATCAACCAAAATGTGAAATTGTAAGTTGAGAACATATAAATAGATGATCACATCACAACTTGGCATATTCCCTCTAAATACAGAGCTCTTTTGATACACCTTCATTTCTTTTGACAGCTGAGTACTGATGTTTTAGAAAATTATAACCAGAACCTGTTGAGATCTTATCTGATAAGAAAGGGATGCCTTAAAAGTTTTCTTTTCCTAAATTGCAAGGTGATTGCAGATGGAGTTACAGATTACTCAGACTTCTTCATATTTCCAGTGCATTTTGATGGTGATCCTCAGAACTAGACTTGATCATTACTGTTTTGCCTCTATGAGATTTCTGGATCTAGGACAAAAAAAGCTGGCCCAAATATATGAAGATATCAGGTTGAACTAGTGCATTAAAGGTAGGATGAGTACATAGTACCACTCTCTTCATCAAGCATAATGGAAAAACTCCATTGAATGAGCACAAAAACTTTTTAGGTTGCAATCATAGCTGCAGAAATATGAAAGGTGAAAACCATCATTTTGGTAAAGCCCTTGAAACCAAACTTTGAACTATATGAGAATAATCAATAGAGTGTTGTGGTAAGTAGAGTCTGCCCTAGGCAGGGATCGGTGTGCGGAAGATCTCGCGATGTAACGGAAAGCTCAGACTGCCCACGAGGGGCCTTGTGGGTGTGGCTTGTCATATATAAGCAATTGCAGTGACACAATCACCATTTGCAGCATCCTCCATATTGGAGTGAGTGACTCGATGACCCTCAACAGCAGAGGTTGAGTTGCAGCGATCCCGGGGTTCAGGTGTCGGTAACGACAATAGACTATCAGAGAATTAAGGAGAGAGCAATTACCCTCTGAAAACAGATATCTTCAGGTCTTCTCTTTTACAATCAAATATATACAAATTTGCATAAATCTGTCTTAAGGCAGGAGTCCCAAGACTCCTTAGGGTTTTAAGGAACTTCTACAATATCCATTCAAATATACTTCATAACCTTCAAGACATCAGTATCCAAGCTTCATCTACTTCATTCCATAGATAGTAGAATTTCTTTTTATTACTAGGATATAGGACTTTGCCAAAATACCAGACTAATATTTTTCTTTCAAATCCTGCAGACCTAACCACAGTTCTGAACAAGATCTTTTTGCTTCACTCTTTGTAACAGTTTTTGCAATAAAAGGAATATTCAGTAAGCCACAGAAGAGCTTTCTAACTATATCAGAGATCAGGTATCCAAGTTTGTTGTTTCTTTTTAGAAACATTATCCCCATCCCCAAGAATGTAGATACATCCAAAATGTATTGGCATTTTGATTGATTCCTTGAACACATTTATGACAGTTCAGAGTACAGTCTGATCCCAGTTATTCTTCTATGTTTGCATTCTTTTGACTTGGCAAATCTTCATGGACATTCTCTTTACATTGCAACATGCTTACCAAAAGGCAGTACCTTGGTACTCAAAGCAAGATCATAAGCTACTTTATTCTAAAAAAAATAGCAGAGATGTCCTAATTAAATGGGTCACTGTGGTGCAGGAAACAAAATATTACAGGAACCACAAGTTTGAAATGGAAAAAAAAGGTTAGCTTGATTTTCAAGCAGTTGTGTCTCACCTGTCCTGTATTCCTGAAGACAGATTGTGGTCTTCATCTTTGGAAATATCTGCATATCAAAACAATGAGTACTCTCAGCTATAGAAACTAATTACTGCAGAACCTTTGTGCAAAAACACATTGCACTGAAAAAACTAGATACCTTCAAATACATTCCTGCTGAAACTGCAAGTCAATCATGATTTGAAGAATACCCATCCTGAAAACAGATATACTCAGAAGCTGAGCAGGTATTAGGGAGAGCTGGATGAGGGGAGCTGTATTAAAGTAGTATCGCCATTCTTCCATTTAATCTGAAATCTTTCCAAAGCAGCAGCCAGAACATCACTAGTACTGAAGTCTCCGATGTTACTGCTTTCTTGCAAACCTGATGATTGTCTTAAGTTCCAGATTGAAGTCTTTCAATAAGTGAGTAGAATAGAATGACAGCCTAAAAACTTTTAGAACTGCTTGTCCTAGCAAAATGAAATGGGCCTTTGTAATTACCTGTGAAAAGGTAACAAGTCTCAAATAAGAATGACATACATGACTGCTGAGCTTTGTTTTAGCAGAATGGTAACACTCCACTCTATTAATACTGTTGGGTAGACTTTAAAATCCAGAGATTTCTGAAAGATCTTGAAGACACAGATAAATTACCACTTGCCTATTTACACCCTGTAAGGGATTCAGTTGGAGACTTCATATCCAAGATGGTTAAACGTGAATGTAATATACTCCTCTTCAGAACCACAAAGAAGATTGATCCTCTAACGTTGAATTCTGGATGAACCATTTTGACAATTACAGTATAAACTCTTTTTAAAGCATAACAATTAAGAGTTTAATATTTTAAAGCTTTAACACTCTTCAGAGATCATTGGGATATGCCTCTACTCATTTGAAATACCACTTATTTGCATTATTTAAATCAGCAATAAGTTTATAAAAAATAGTCTTTACTTATTGCCAAACTGTTTTGAACAAGACAAATCAGCCAGAGGCCAATTACAAGCTTATCTTAATTAAACTAACAGTCAAGATTAGGAATTTTCAACAGGTAACGCATAACCACACCTAAATAACAAATCTACCTTTCTTGACAACTGTTTTCTTTTCCTAGTTATTATTCCCAGGTCTTTTCAAAGATGTCCAAGCACCCTCTCCCACTTCAACCAACAGGGTTGTGTAGACTACAAGAATCTAAACCAATTAATATAATCTGAATACAAGGAAGATTCAAAATTACTGTAATGGTACTAATGGATGACCTATCGACAGAGTAAGGGCAAATATCCATTTTATATTTCTACTCTTTTTTTGCTCTCCCCTGACCGCCTCCCAAAACCATATTCCAATAAACAAAGAATTAAACAGAAACCCCTTCCTATCAGTAAAACCGATTCCCACAGCACTAGGTCCTTCCCTTGAAGGAGAGATTCAGCAAACATAAGCAAAAAATTTTAATCTCACTGCTTGCTCCCTTACAGAAGAAACTAAGATTGTACAGTTGTGATCCTGGTATAGGAAGCTTTATAGAACAGAACATAATTTCAAATAGTGGGACTATGCACCTGGTATATAACTAATTTCAAAGGCTCCACAGTAGAGACCAGAGGGCTTCAAGCTGATGTAGTTAAGAAAGGATTTCTGAGAATCTAAACAGAAACAGCTGCTAAGTTTTAGCAATCTGTCAAGAGACTTCATCAAATTTCTGGTCACTATGCAAAAAAGAAGGACCATCAGGAGGGATGTTCTTCTGCCAATGACTAGGCCTAACAGGAACAACAACCAGAAGGAAGAGAAACCAATACACAGACTGT